AGATCATCGGGGGTGGCGTTGGTGGTCCCTTGATAGCTGCAGGCCCGATCCAGGTCCTTTGTGTTACAATTTTGTCAAATTTTACTTCTTTGTATTTAGCTTGTGAACTGTAACCTTTTCTTCCTGATAATGGGGGTGTTTGGTAAATAGCTTGTTAGTTGATTGGGTTAGTGGGTTTGACTAGTTGATAGTATTAGCTGATTGTAGAAAGATGTTTGGTAAATTAACTGTTAGCTGATAGCTGATTACATGCAAAATGACTTTCTTAAAAAGCTGCTTTAAGCAGCTTTTTGAATTTTAGCGTTTTGGAGCAATAAGTTGTTACAAAAAGCTAATTAATCAAGTCAAACAGCTAATAGTGGTCGAATAAGCCAAAACTGACTCTTCAGCTAACTATGTTACCAAACAGGGCCAATATGTACCTCTACATGATCTCGGCCGCACTTTTAAAGTTATCTCTGCCTCCGACTTTTGTATCACTCATACATATTTTATGTTTCATCTTTCTTGGAATAAGATGACAATATCTCTCTGCCATGATTCCCGTTCTGAGCTCGTAGATTGTCTCGACAGGTTATCGTAGGTACATTTGCAATTGACAAAAAGAAGAATTTGGCGGAAGGACTAAGACGTGATGTCTCTGCACAAATTGATGTGGTATCAACATCGGATATCGGAGTCCAGTCAATGGTTGATTCGTCTCACCAAAGTATTGTCGGGAATCAATTTATGATGCAGTCAGCTCCTCCACAATCAACCGAATGGAGAGGCAACACACCAGAAAACAGCGACTATGACCACCTTGGAGATTAGAGAAGTAGATTTGTTGTTGTTTAGGAGGCCCTCCCGTTACATGTACATTTCTATCTATCTCGTAGGTTATTTGAGAGTTGAGACGAGAGAAACAGAAACTCCTTCGCACCATCTGCCCGTGTCTAATTATAGTGTACAGGTCAGTGAATCTCACCTTGCAGACCGAACTGTGAGAATTTAGTAATTTATTTATACAGTGCATGTTAACCCCTGGTGTTTTGTGAGCATAATCTCTACGTGTGGAGGATGTTGCTGCAAAGTGCAAACTGCAAAGCATGTTGTACAGGTTTTCTTTCCAATGGTTCTGACATCATCTTAGATTCTCAGCCTCAGGTGAGCTTTCAAATCTATTATTACCAGTGTTGCAAAAATCGCGCCTAGCCGGCCGCGGCGAGGAAGGCCGGAATCGGCCTCCTCCGCGGCCGGACCGCCTAGCCGGCCGAACCGGCGAATTTTTTAATTTTCTTTTTAGGGTTTAGGTTAGAAACTTTGCGAAGGCATTACTTTTGACTCGGTTGTCCGTTTTGCAACCTTGATTATTACTAATATTATTATTATAATTATTATATTATTCGGTCTTTCACCAGTTTTTAGGGAGCCTCTTCCAGAAAATGTTACTTGCATCAAATCTTATACTCTCCCCGTCCTATTTTGTGTCCTGTTTACTATTCATTTGTCAAACTAACTCTTTTTTTTTGTTTTTGTTTTTTGTTTTTTTTTTTTAAATTAGTTTTTAATTATTTTTGTGTTTTATTACTTTTATAGTACTTTTAATGTAGTTTCTAAATATATAAAATTTATATACTAATACTAAACTTAATGTTATGAAAAATTGAATTCAAAATAATTTTAGTTAAACCTCGTTATCGGAACCAGACACATAAAATAGGACGAATAGAGTATCATTATATTATATACCACTTGTGATAAGTATAATTTCGACTGTTTATTAATTGTTGGAAGTATCCACTTTTTGTCCTTCGGCATTTTCACTTATAGTCCTTGAATATATTTTTTTCCACTAATTAGTACATCTACTTTGAATTTCTTGTCGCTTTTAGTCCTTCCAGTTCATTTCTCCTTTTAAGAAAAAATTATACTTTTGGCCCTTCAATTGTTCAAAAGTTACAAATGTAGTACATGTTGCAAATATAGTTGTTTGGTTGTTGTTCTAGTCTTCTAGATGTAAATTTAGTCATCGTTTTTTAATTGATACTCCGTATAAATCTAAATTTTTTGTTGACTTAGTTGCAAATTTAATCATTCACATGTTGACCTAGTTGCAAATTTAGTACTCTAAAAAGGACCAAATTTGCAATTAAGTCAACAATTAAAGTACTAGATTTACCACAATTGAAAGATAGAGACAAGGGGTGTGTTTGGTTCGAACATGAAAATTAAAATTAGAATAAGAATTAAAGACTTTGTAATTGAAATAATGGTAAATGTATTTTGCATGTTTGGTAGTAGAAGTAGAATTTGATGTAAGTATAATATCAGCTGGAATCCTTTGAGTACAGTGATTCCACCCGTGGTCCTTCAACTTTCAAATTTAATTATCAATGGTTATTTAACTTTCAAGCTAACCATTCATGTTCCTTCAACTTTTAAAATTTTAACCAGTCATAGTTCTAACTTTGCTCTTACTTAAACTAATGGAAGGAACACATTTGGTTGAATTTGAAAGTTGAAGAACTGCTGGTAATTAAATTAAACATTTGAAATTAAATGTGACGATATCACTTTACTCGGAGGACCCCTATCATAATATTATCAGAAGCACTTTTTTGGTGGGCTTGGGGATGTTGACCCCATCATGGGAAACCGGTAACGTACAGCCGCCGTTTTAGGAATATGGTGTGCGCGCGGCTGTTTTGAGATTAGATGGACGGTATTTTGTTGGCCTTTCTGCTCACATTTTCACATGCTTTAATATCATGCAATCCTAATGGAGATTGTTAGCCCAAAAATGACACGACAATCCCTGTTTTTAGCAAGAGGACAACGTTATTGTTAACCAAACACAACCATCCTCCTACCCCCATGGAGTAATACTACACATATTTTCGAATTTCGATCGAGCGAGATGATCTTTACTCAATACGATATGCTGATATTTATGTAATGTGACGTTTCATGATTGATTGATTCCTTATCCAATCATTTGGTTAGGAGGCGAGGCACTCAAATGATGAAAATTTTGAAAGAAGTTATCCAGACACTTCCAATGATGCTTTCTTTGACTAAGGGTTTATGGCTAGGATTTTCATTTGATCTCAAACAAAATAAATCAATGAATCACAACATTCATCAACCAAGCTGATGATGTTAGATTGACTGGATGTGGTTTGCTGTTAGCAGTTAGCACCTCCCTTGGTAAAACATTATTTCTGGCATAACTGTATGACGGTCCACTTTTATTCTTTTATTTGATATCTCTCAAGTTTCTAGTTTTATCAAACTATATCATAGACTCTATAGGCCCATCTTTAAACCTATCATGAGATAAACGGATAGTTATGCTGTGCATCCGGATGCACCATGCATGGATGCAAAAACGACGTCGTTTTATTAAAAATGCGCGTCTCTCCTTAAAAACATTTCCCTTTTAGTAAATCAAAGTAGCTCATTGTATTAGGCTCTTTGCTTATATTTGAATATATTTAGTTCTCAACTGTTGAAAAATTGTCGTTTTAAATCATATTTGGGGACAAAATTGTCAAATTTAATACTAAAAGTGGCATTATTAAGAATGAAGAAAATATCAAGTGGAGTGCTATGAGCTAAATGTTTTGCTATTCCAAGTATGCTACAATACCAAGTTGAAATATATAATGATTGACCAAGACCAATCAAAGTGGGTAAATCTTACAGTGTACCGGAGTTGCATGGGATAATTATCTCAGAGCTAGCAGGGAAAAGAATATAAAATATAAATATAAATATAACAAATATAAAATATTAAAACTTAGGTGAGAGACAAATTCGATGTTATTTTATATAAAGTGATGTGGATTCACGGAAGCTAAGTACGTCCAGGTTCTCTTCATGTAAACCATGTGGATCCCTCTGAAAACTGCAACAACCTTAAAATATTTACCACCATCTATTTTATATCATTAATTAATCCAAAAAATCCAAATCCAAGAATATTTCCAACTTTCTTGATGCACCCCATCGTTAAATTCTATAAAATCTTGATATCATCTGCACGGGTTTAGTTCACCGGTTTAATATACAGTATTTAGCAGAAGAGGTTAAGGTTCAAACTTCAGCAACAACAGTGTAAGAATTATGCTCAAAGTGCGATAAATTCTTTGTGTGCATCGACGTTTGGCTTGGTTTGTTGAGTTATTAAGTCACAATGATTTACATAATTCTAAATGTTCTGTCAGACGAGACGTGTGGTCATTAGGATGGGGGATTCAACCTATTAGGAAAATTTTGATATGAAATGACATATGCTATTTGATTGTTGTAATTTAATTCAATTTAAATTAAGAGGCTAGTTATTATTATTTTTATAATAATGATCATAATCACATGGAATGTTATACTTTTTCTTTTTAAATAATAAAGAGGGAAATTAAATTTACTATTATTGTTGGAGAGTATGTACTGAATAAATTTAACTTTATGATTGTGATCTTAATTGGTATAAGATCATAAAAAATATTATACTCTTACAACATGATATATTGAAAAATGTGGTGACATGAACTAAATGAATTTGAAAAAAATTATTATTGGGGATTTATAAATAAAAATGGATTAAAATATTTACCATCATCAATTTTAAATAATTAATTTAATCAAAAAATTCAAAATAGAAGAATATTTCCACATTTCTTGTCACAACCCTCATTAAATAATAGAAAAGTTTTTAATGATACTACATTTGCTAATTATATTGCTCTAATAGAATTCAATTCAGATTAATAATTAAACATGTGATCTTATAGTTGTTATAGTAATAATTGTAGTAACCTAGAATATTATATTTTTACATCTTGATATATTGAAAAAGGTGGTATCTTGAATTAAATGCACTATTAATGAATTATTATTGAAATTTTAGAAATAATAATAATAATAGAATAAAATATTTACCACTTTCTCGACCCTCCCTTGATCTTTGCCAAGGTCCATTTTCTTTTTTGGTTTTCTTGGTCTCACTATAAATACTCCAGCGGAGCTCCATACAAGTGCGGAGAAGAAAGCAAAAAAAGACTGGGAATAGGAGATTTAGAGGGGGAAGCAAATGGGCGCTTTTCTTCCGGAGCAATGAGTCAAGAATCTCACGAGCAAAAGGGTACGACTAGCTCCTAGCTGGGCTCACATCAATAACAGTGTGGGCATCGTTGTTGACTAGCGTCGAGCTTGTGTTCCCATTACGGGGGCCGGTTTTGCGGCACGGCGGAGCAGACGGCCGTCTGGGTTGCCTGTTTTTGACAGCAAAGTTGGAAGCTTTTTCGTCGTATTGGCTTCTTCACTCTGATTTGGGGCGTGCAGAGGTCAAGATTCCGTGGTGGGTCTCGCTGTTTCGGTGGAATTGATGAAGGGTGCTGGAAAGTGATTGCTTTTTATCAGATCTTAGCAGCTGGGTTCCTCTGTAAGATTGGAAAGTTAGTTTGGTTATGCTTTTCCTCTACCTTTGATTATATAGCCTTTGCTGCTTTAGGTTGTTGGTTTTATGTTTGTGTTGGATAGATAGGAAGATTAGAGAGGCATTTTTGTGTAAATTGTTGGACTTGATCTCAAAAGGGTAAATAAATTGGGGGAGGAATGGGGGGAAATTGTTTGAAATGGAGACTGTGGTCAAGTGGCTATGTTAGATCTTGATATGCTCATATGCATAGTTGTTTGGATATATATATAAAGTTGACAGGTCAATTTTATTTTTATTGTACTGGGGTTCTGTCACTGAGGATGCAAAGTAGGGAGAATGGGATCTAAACAAGGGGGTTTTGGTATAGCAAGAAATGTGTCCATTTTTGATGGATTGATGTTTTCAAGGTAGAAGATTTTTATGAAGGAATAGGCTCCAATGGGTGCAATGTTGAGGTGGTTGTTTCTTGGGTTGTTAGTTTCTTCAATTTTCTCCGTGGTGTCAGCTATTGATTATCTCTGTTGTGATGACGAGGGATTGTTTAGTGTAAGTAACATTCTATTTATGCAGAAAGTGGGCGACGTCTTGATTGCAGTTGCTTATTTCTCGATTCCCATTGAATTGCTGTACTTCATTAGCTGCTCGAACATTCCTTTCAAATGGGTCCTCGTTCAATTCATTGCGTTCATAGTTCTTTGTGGATTGACCCATTTGCTCAACGTGTGGACTATCAACACTCATCCTTCGTTTCAAATCATAATGTCTTTGACAGTCGCAAAAATCCTCACTGCCCTCGTGTCCTGTGCAACTGCAATCACCCTCCTCACGCTTATCCCTCTCCTCCTCAAATTTAAGGTGAGAGAGCTGTTCTTGAGACAGAATGTGTTGGAGCTGGATCAAGAAGTCGGGATGATGAAGAAACAGAAAGAAGCGAGCATGCATGTCCGAATGCTGACACTAGAAATTAGAAAGTCGCTCGATAAGCATACTATACTGTATACCACTCTGGTCGAGCTTTCTAAAACCTTGAATCTTCAGAACTGTGCAGTGTGGATGCCGGGTGGGAACAGAACACAGATGAACTTGACGCACGAGTTGAACCCCTGTTCGGCTCGAGAGCATCATTCCCTTTCAGTTAATGACCCGGATGTGCTGGAGATAACGAAGAACGAAGGGGTAAGGTTACTGAAGCGAGATTCAGTTCTTGCAGCTGCGAGCAGTGGTGGGTCCGGTGAGCCAGGTGCTGTTGCAGCTATCCGGATGCCATTGCTTCGTGGTTCGAACTTCAAAGGTGGAACACCCGAGCTTATTGATACTTGTTTTGCCATATTAGTGCTGGTTTTTCCGAGTGTTAATGATGGTGATTCGAGCTATGATGAGTTGGAGATAGTGGAAGTGGTTGCTGATCAGGTGGCCGTGGCTCTGTCCCATGCAACGGTTCTTGAAGAGTCTCAGTCGATGCAGGAGAAGCTGAAAGAAAGGAACCGTCTTTTGCAACAAGCTAAGGAGGATGCGATGAAGGCTAGCCAGGCAAGGAATTCGTTCCAGAAGGTAATGAACAATGGAATGAGGCGGCCAATGCACTCGATTTTGGGCTTGCTTTCCATACTTCAAGACGACAATTTGAAACCCGAGCAGAAAATTGTCATCGACACATTGGTGAAAACCAGCACAGTACTTTCAACCTTAATTAGTGACGCAATGGAGATATCTGCCAAAGATGACGGGAAATTCCCCGTAGAAATGAGGCCCTTTCAGCTTCATTCATTGATCAGAGAGGCCTCTTGTCTCGTGAAATGCTTTGCCATTTATAAGGGCTTCGATTTTTCCACGGATGTTCCGACTTCTTTGCCTAATCAGGTGATGGGTGACGAGAAGAGAACATTTCAGGTTATACTTCATATGGTCGGACATTTGTTCAATGTCAGTGATGGAAACGGCTCCGTCATATTCAGAGTTGCTTCGGAAAGTGGAACCGAGGATGGGAATAATAAAGTTTGGAATACGAGAAAACCGAGCTCGAGTGATGACAATGTAACAATAAAATTCGAAATCGAAGTCACTATTGGAGATTCTCAATCAGGTACCTCAGTTTCAGTCGTTCCTTCTGGCAGGAAAAGGCATAACAGCAAAGATGTGAAGGAGGGCTTGAGCTTCACCATGTGCAAAAAGCTCGTGCAGGTAATTAGTTTTTATTTGTTCTCCTTAGTTTGTCGTAATTTTGGCGTGAGACCAACTAGTCATTTTAGTCCCGATATACAAATTCTATGGCTAACTCATAATATTGTTAAGTGCATAATTCTTTGTTACTTGGAATTTAATCGTGAGAACAAGTGGTTTGTACATTTTGATTTGTCACTTTGATAGATCTAGGAGGTTGGTTTTTTCTTTTATTGGATAAAACGGAACGAAGCTGAAATTTGGTGTATTCATGACGCATAAGAACTTTTGAAGAACATGTTATGCATATCAACTTGAACCGTGTTGCAGTCAATGTGGTAGCCCGGTGCCCGGTGGTGTCTTTTATGTGCAACATTATAATTAAGGGGAAATTAACAATTTGGTCCCTCAATTGTTTCCCAACTGTCAATGTAGTCCCTAGTTTTCAATTTCAACCAATTTGATCATCGAATTGTTTAAAATTTAGTCAATTAAACCCTTTCAGTGACCAAATTGATGAAATTTTAAAAATGTGAAAATCACCATTTTGGTCTCTGAAAGGGTTTAATTGACGAAATTTTAAACAATTCGAGGATCAAATTGGTTGAAATTGAAAACTAGGGACTACATTGACAATTGAGGGACCAAAATGTTGATTAACTCCTATAATTAATTTAATGGTCCTTTTGCTGACGGTAGAGATGTCTCTACCATAACACACATCAATGAAATGCTAACATTGCCTACTTGATTACTAATCTTCGACTTCTACCAAATCGACAAGCACTACAAAAACCTTGATTATAGAGTAATGCCTTGTGTTTATGAAATTTCTTTTCTTTTCTCCGTGATGCTATGAAAGGAGTGACCTAAAAGACATTTCGAGGTTTTTAAAGGTGGTGGGGGGGGGGGGGGGTGGCTTTCGGTTGGTGCTTGGGAAGAGGCTCGATACATTGGTTAGCTTAACAGCCTATTTATACATCTCATTACGTAAGAAATTCATCAAAAACTAAGAAATTTCCAGAAACACAACTGCGTATTTTGCTGAAACGTGTAGTTGTGCAGTGGCAAAAGTGCATATTTTTTTAACACTTCATAACAGCTTTAACGGTAACTTCAAACGTCACTGTTTGAGTCAACAACTATTGGCCATTTAATCAATTGACGTCACACTAAAACCCACATTATTTATTTAAAAACAACCCAAGCGACACTGTTTCTCTCCCTAGTTTATTGTTCTTCATTCTTTATTCTTCTAGCTACTAGGGTCATTACTTGAGGTAAGAAGAGAGTCGGGATCTTAAGGCAGATAAAGGTTTTAAGGACTTGAGTTCTATCTATATATCTCTAGGTTTCTAAATTTTCAGATACTTCTTACAGTTATAAAAACTCATCTGAATCGAGCAATGTAAATCTTACAATCTTTGAGGTGATTCTCTGTTTCTCTCCATGAAATTCATATTGCAATGCTCATTCCTTTCAACTGTTTTGAGTAAACTTTGAAAACGGTAAGATCAATAAAAAAAGTATTTACTAGAATGAAAATCTATACCAAAATATGAACGTGAGTTCTGAAAATAGACATAAAATGTTATTTATTATGCCAAATTCGTAGCGTGTGGAAATGTTTCAGTCAGTGGTGTGCATTCTGGGCTATTGGTGTGAATTAGAATGGGTATGCGTAGAATGGAAGGGAGATTCGGGCTCTATCCCTATTTAGATGGGAGAGTGGGGTTTTGGCCGGACTGATTTGCCCTTTAAGCGTGATTTGAAACACGTAACTGCTTTTATGTGTGATTATGGACGATTTGCAGATAATCAAAGTAAATAAATGGCTCTGTTTGGCATACCTAGCTTATAAGCTAGCTTAAAGCTAAAACCTAATACCTACTAGCTTATTTTGAAACGCTATTTAAGATAGTGTTTCAAAATAAGCTACTCCGTATTATTTTAAGCTCTTCATGTTTTATCAAACAGAGTTTATAGCTTATTTGTAGCTTAAAATAAGCTATAAGCTTTACCAAACATAGCTAAAGTTGAGTGATAGTTTTTATAGTGGTTCGGGATTTTCCCTACTCCTCATCACCCCCCCACCCCCCCCCCCCCCCCCCTTTTTTGTTTCTCTTTACTGTCATTTTCGTATATTTCGTTGTGTCTTGTAGTAGGAAACAGCCGTTTTTTTCCTTAATATTTTGATCCTCTAGTCTTGAATGTGACTTCATACTGCATCCCAAAATGTTACGTTATTGAAATACAATAATGTTCCTTCTCTTTTTTAAAAACTTTCGGAGTTCCCGTTGAAATTTGTTTGAACTACTTTGGACATGCCTTTCCACGTCACGCGTTTTCAGAATGTGTATTTTGCATGCATTGTCATTACATGTTCAGGCAATTCAAACGAATTTCTGCAGAAAACCAGGGAATTCTTTAGAAAGAGAAGACATAATGTCACATTATAGGAATGCAATGCATATGATGTCACATTTAGGAAACACCGCATTTTTTGCATTTTATGAATTTGATATAATAAACGTGACATCACGTTGCATTTACATAACATGTGGTTCACATTTTAATATAGCTTTTCTTAAGAATACCAATTTACGGAGTAGTAATTTTTTGTTTACATTTTACCTGCAAAATTTGAATTATTGGTCTTAACTTTACGTTAAGCTAGCTTAATGTGTGATTATTGTCACAGTTGATGCAAGGAAATATATGGGTCTCCTCGAATTCTCGGGGCCGTGGACAAGGCATGACGCTGATTCTAAGATACCAGAAGCAATCCTCGATTAGAAGACGAATCTTTGAATATAGAAATCCTTCCGAGCCACCGCTTCCAAGCTCAATGTTCGAAGGCCTTCAAGTTCTTCTAGCCGACGATGACGGTGTGAATAGAATGGTGACTAAAAAGCTGCTCGAGAAGTTACGCTGCCAAGTATCCACGGTTTCAACGGGTTTCGAATGCCTAAGCGCCCTAGGCCCCTCGGCAACTTCCTACCAAGTCATCATCCTAGACCTTCACATGCCCGAAATGGACGGGTTCGAAGTGGCGATGAGAGTGCGCAAGTTTCGGAGTCGCAACTGGCCGTTGATCATAGCCGTGACCGCGAGCTCGGAAGACCATATGTGGGAAAGATGCCTCCAGGTGGGGATGAATGGTCTGATACGAAAACCCGTCCTCCTACAGAGACTTGCGGAAGAACTTCAGAGAGTCCTCCAGCGGGCTGGCAACGAAGTCATGTGAAAAGCTCGAGAGAGTAACGGCTGCCCGCCCCCCGGATCTTGAAAAGCTTGAGAATAATGGCGGCCCGTGGATCTTCATCTCCATAGACAATCCTAGCTTGTTCTTGCTAACTGCATAGTTGGTGAAGTCCTCTGTATACATATATCTATATATTATAGGGAATAGGATTGCCATATCCAGATGGTCTCTGTAAGGTTTACTTCCCTTAGTGGCATGGTTCTTTGAAAAATGGAAAGAGAAAAAAAAAAAAAAAAAAAAGAAACAGAAGAAATTTGATAGAAACTAATTCATAAATTGTAACTTTCACATTGAAATGCATTTTGGAAATGTTGCAGCCATGACTGTGCTGTGCTATCTTTTGGTCCTTTTAGCTGGTCTTCTGGTGTTTTAGCTCTTGCAGTTTTTTAAGAGTTTTAGTATAAACAACACTATTTTTTTGTGTAACGAGAGAAACTTGCGACAATTACAGTAAATTTTGCTCTTATATAATATCTTATAAATCATCCAAGAGATTATTTGTATATTGCATTAAACGACGCCGTTTTGATGCGTGGTGGCACCACGATCCACGATATAACGACTGTGCAATACGACATAACGATTCCATGTCATCTTTTAATCTTTTTTTTTTTTTTTTTTTAATGTAAATAGTATTTAAAAACTTTCACTTGTTGTGTAAATGTAAAATAGTATTTAATTGAAACGTGTCAATTCTGTTGATAAAAGTGTACATTTAGCATTTGTGCATTTTGTAATGTTTAGATAAAAGTGTAAATATAATAAGTCTATTGCTGAAATTTTTGAATGTTTAGAGTACATTATATGATAGATTATTGAATATCTATAGGATCACTATGATTTTATTTATATATAAAAAAATAAAATCTTAAAGGATATGTTTTAAATTTGGCCTTGTACATAATACATAAACAATAATAGAGAATAGAGGCGTGAAATGTTGGATTTTGAACATTTACCCTCATAATCGATGCCTTACAATGAATTTCTTAATGAGTCGAAAGATTAAATTTAAAACAAAATTGATAATCTAAAAAACAAATCCCATCGGTCAAATCTCAGTTGTTATGTATCGCAAATTGATCTTAGTCTTTATGTGCACATAAGAAATCCAATCCAAACCTTCTAACATATTTGGAATTGAGACTTTTTCTCATACATGTTTCCTATATACTATCAATAGTTATGCCATGGACCCGGGTCCACCTTGCAAGATGGACCCAGGTCCAAAACGAAGCAGTTTGCGCGTGTGAAAATAACAATGCCGTTAGTAGTATCGTTTTTACAGCCAATGATTTTTTTTTTTTTTTTTAATATTGAAAACAACTCAGCGAGTGTATATTCAGTTATGTAATTGTGAATATAGAGTTATGAAATTGTGAATATAAAGTTCTGTAATTGTAAATATAGAGTTCTGTAATTGTGAATATAGAGTTCTGTAATTGTGAAAATTAAGTTTTGTAATTTTGTATATTGAGATAAAAAATTATGAATATTCAATTCTAAAATTGTGAATATAGAGTTTAAAAATTGTGAACATAACCTTATACGGAGTACTATTCTCGTAAATCAAACAACTAGCAAGGGATAGGACTAATCTTATTCAATACAAACTAATGAGTGGTACTATTAGTTCTTCCCGAAAGGTTAAATCCCCAACTTCAAGGGCCCCACACCCCGACCCGACAGAGCATTTGAGAAGATGTAAATCATGGTAACTCAGCTGAACACAGAGACTAGACCTTTGCTTACTGCGCACAAGGAGGCCCCCATTAAATCATGGTGGGACATAGCACACACCATTGGTGCAGCTCCTTTTATAAGTTTAACCTCAAACTTGAGGGTCACTCACCGCTCATATCTTGAAAACTGATAGAGGAAGTAAATAGCGAGATGTATCTCAACTAGCCTACATGCTCCCAAATGTTTATAGACTAGTACTCATAACAAGGCAAAATTTATATATCTGGTTTTTTTTTTTTTTTTTTTAATATGACTATGGAAACACGCAACCACTACTCCCGAGGTGCAAACTCTACATTGTGACCCGAGCCGGCAAAAGATTATAAGGAGGTAAATCAACTTAGCTTGTGCATAGCTGACCGACTAAAAAAAAAGTCAATAGACCGCTCATACTAAAAGTCAATAACACGATCAATTCGACTAAAATTATTCCCAATTCATATACCTCTTTTTTTTGGTCATTGGTAATATTTGAATTCTACACCCGAAAACTCCTTTTAAATGTTGGGTTGATTAGGGGTTAGACTTTAGATAATGTGGACATGAAGAAATATAATTTTTTTCAAAAAAAAGTTTAATTTTGTATAGAAATCCCTTGATCGAATGAGTAAGTAAAACATCATTTTCACAAAACATAGTATATTGATGCAATTCAAGTAGTGTTGGCCAATGACTAAAGTCATCCTTAATTGCCGCCTTTAAATATAATTAATCAATTAATTATGGTGGCCTGATGATTTAATCAAATATAATATATCCGAGGTTCTGTCAATCCATACGTCGTACTTTACATCTGATTTGTCACGTTTTTTGCCTTATAACCCTCATTACAAATGAATATATGTATAAACGTTAAAAAATGATAATATATATGAATTAAAGACCAAGCACTTATCATTATATCAAAAATATTTGAATGTGTGACTTACTTCGATATTAATAGTCTGATCAATTACATATATACCACTATGTTAAAAGGTGAAGCTAGTAGTGAAAATAACAACTAATGTAACTGATATATATGGTAAATACATGGTATACATAGAGTGTGACTCACGCGCGTGTATGTATAACTAGGTATTGGAGCTCGGGGTTCCTAACAGTGGGTTGGAAAGCTCCGGTCCAATTAATTACCAAAAAGTCCCATTTCAGTAGCAATAAATGCTCTATTTATAAGAAGAGGAGGAGACAGCCCCGCGGCTCCGGCATGGACAGGACGTGGCAAACATGCACCGGTCACCACCGAGGCCGCGTACTGCCTCGCCACGCGGCGATGCTACACTGGAGCTCCAAGGAGCGCGGGGTCAAAGGCTCGCTGGTCGGGGCCCGAGTGGCGAACGGTCGGGCATAGGTCCCCGGCCGGTCCACGTCAGAGCCAACCACGGTACGACCGACCCGGAAGAGGGGGATCGGGAAGGTGCCCGAGCGGTCGGTCCGGTCGTACCGTGGTCCAAAGGTCCGGGATGACGATACCAACTGACACCGAGCATACAGTCATGATGACAAGGTGTCTATCCCTATCAGTAACGTCTCGATGATAGAATGTCGAACTTAGTGCAGTTTAAATTTTCTATGCAGTTTGTGAGCTATCACACAAGAGTATGATTTACCTAGGAGTCTGTTTGGCAGAGCTTATTTAGGAGCTTATAGCTTATTTTAAGTTACTAATAAGCTATAAGCTCTATTTAGTAATGTTCCTAAAGTAAGCTACCCTCCTAGCTTAAAATAAACTAGTAGCATCGTAACTTTTTTTCATCTTTGTCCTTATTATTTTAAAGAAATGACATCATTTACCCTTCCCAATTAAAATCATTTTCTCTGCTCCTTTATCCTCAACTTTTACCGCAATTATTATTATTATTATTATTATTATTATTATTATTATTATTATTATTATTATTATTATTATTATTATTATTATTATTATTATGAGATAAAGGAGATTCGCAATAATATTGCTACTTCATTATGGGATGCTAGATCATGATTATGCTAATAATTTTATTTCAAAATATTAATTTTTTTAAAGATAAAATATTGAATTTTAATATGTAAACAAACTAATTTAAATTTTATGAAGATATCATTTTTTTTCTTTTTACATTTATCAACTTATCAACAAGCTAATTTTACCAAAACACTTTCAAGCATAACAACTAATTTGACAGCTATTCAGTTTTTAGCTTTCAGCTAGGTTTGTCAAACATAGTCCTCGTGTACCATCTAGTGGCTGCAGATTTTCTGGTCAATCAAAATAAATAAATAAAAGAATAGGCCGGTAAGGTTTTGTATGTACTACTAACATACATAACATAGTGTTTTCTTTTCCACCATTAATATTTCTTAAGAATTAGCATAATAGCATATACATAAAATAGAGGAAAAATATGAATATAATTATAGATTATTAGACAAAAATAAAAATTGTAATATAAACATCATTATTATTATTTTTCAACAAAAATTAACATATGCATAAAATAACCATTTAATGATTTAATCCAATGAGATTTAAATGGTTTATAGCAAAGATATGAATATATTGTATAATAATTATAATTATAAGTTTATAGCAAAAATTTTGTGCAGGTATGATATTAAACCATATTTCATAAAAAACATTGCATAAAAAAAGTGAAGAATTTTTCTAGAGGATTGGAAAAAATAATGGAATCTCAATGATAAAAAGTCAAAATAAAATGTAATTTAAAATGCACAATTGTTGACCTCCCAATGAATATTTTTTAAATTTTAAATTTTTTGTGTTTTAAAAAATTCTTTCTTTGGAATGGCAGGTAGCACTGGCTACTTGCCAACTTAAACAAATACTACTTGCCAAGCAATATGTATATTGCGTTTAAAATATTGTAAATTACATTTTAGTTAGACAAAATTATTTTCATTTTGTTATTACTCATTTAGACTTCGTTAAAAAATAAATGACTAATAATTAAAGATGATTTATTAATAAAAAAATTATGACAATATTTTTTTTTGAAATAAAATTATGACAATCTAATTAATCCTGTGTATATATATACCTCCTATTGGTGTGGACACATCCACAACCTCCATTATGAGAAATCAAAGACTGCAATTTTACCATTACTAAATTTTCAAGTATTCAATAATAATTATAAATTTGACTCTGTATATTTTTTTTTATAACTAAAATCCTCACAATGAAACTCTTTTTATAAATCAATTCTCATGAATTGCCCTTCAAGAAGTGTTTGAGTGGGTGGAGCATGATTCTTATACTTAATGTCACGAGTTCAATTTTTGCCAATATTTATCAATTGAGTCTATATTATAAGATCTCTTTTGTACAATTTACTTCTTCTGTTGTGTGTGGAAGCAGAGTTTACTTGATGCACACCTTCAAATTTTGTCCCTGTAACCTGATTTTTTCACTTAACCCATTAATTTTAAGGATGATAGGATTTTATTTATTTATTTATTTTTCTCAATTTCTCTTTTTGTTCAACCAATATAGATTATTTAACGAGAGTATATATTTTCGAGAATACAAATATATATAGTTTTAATTATATTATTATTTAATATAATGTGGAATCGGTTGCCATCTCAAACAGTGCTGTATTATACTTCAAAACACCATTAAAAGTGTTCAAATTATGAGGCTGAGCTTAATATAATATTGATCAATCCTATGCCAACTGTAGCATCACCAAATTTAACTTTATTTTCATAAAGTCTTATTTATTTCATTATTTTATTGAATTAAAAATGAAAAATCATTACACATGAGTTGAGTTTACTTATTTCACGCTTTCAAGTAAAAAATAGTGATTGTGTGTTTCTCTAGTTACCTACAAATGACTAATCATATAGGTCCCAAGAACATACAAACCAAGTTACGAGGGTGTCGACTATATTACATTGTAATATCTGTTCGACTATATTCTCTCAACTTGTTGAAGTACAAAGAGTCAACACCACCTCCATCAAGGCTCGATTTTATGACCTCCCAGGAGAGTCAGTACATGTCATTTGAGCACCAGAGGTGCTTGGCGATTTCATTTTACTTTGATATACTATATGTATCATTTTTTATTTTTGAAATAATATATTATAGTATTTATGTAATTAAAAGGGAATGTATGTATGAGACTGAGTCTGATATATATATATATATATATATATATATATATATATATATATATATATGTATGTATATATATGTGTGTGTACAGTGGGCAGGGGTGGCAGGCGAGTTAAATGGCAAAGTGACAAACAAGGTATGTAGGCATAATATAAATGTGATAAGATCCAAAACTTGAGATCTAAATGGGGACATACAGACCTCACCAGAACACTTTTGTAAATACATGCTAAAATGAAGATCAGATCACCATCACATACACACCTCCATGAATTCAGCAAACCCTATTCCCTAAGATTCTGCATTATTTTATACTTTTTGTAAGTTGGCAGTAGTTGCAGTTAATTGCAGTTGCCAACCATTATATACTATATATACATACACACACTCCGTATATATATATATATATATTCTCTAGCTTCTTTTCCTTTCTTTTTCATTTACGAAAAAACTCACCACCCTATCTAAATATATAATTTGGATGAAACTCGATTTATAACTCTAACCAACTAAAAATTATAATAATGAGGTAAATCAATCTTGTAGCCTTAGCCGGCAAAGGATCACAAATAGTATACGAGGAGTCAACTGCCTGACCAACTTGACTAGATATATAGGTTGTCCTCATTTTCTTTCTCAAATATATGTATACCAAAACAACTACTCCAAACGAACTGGTCTGACAATTAATTTAGTAACCACAGTATTCCAAATTTAACTTCTTGAGGGATCGGAGCTTATTGCTGAGGAGTACATAATTGATGTAACACTTAAGGGGATTTTATATACGTTTCTTATATATATAAAATTTTCAATCGAAAAGAAATTCTTTACTTAGGCATGTAGTTATTTGCACTGCATCTTTTACTTTTTTTTTTTTTTTTTTTTTTTTTTTTTAAATATAGCTTAAAATGTATAATAACTCAAAATCAAGAATTGTTGTTTATAGAATAAAGTAGGATACTATAAAAGAAGTACGGAGTACTATATTTTATGTAGTATATATTCCGGCCATCTTAATTAGTTTATGTTATCTTACATGGGAGTGAATATGCTCATCATTGCCCACTCCATTCACTTTGATGGGTTATAAAATAAAGAGGGAAATTTAAAATAATAATAATAAAGAAAATTAAGAAAAATCATCTTCTACACTTCCATTGGATGAGAAGTGCAGAAGCTGGATGGGTAAATAAATAATAATATAATACAAATGGTAAAAGTAAGTGGTTAATTAATTAACTCAATGAACAAAAATAAAATTTATTTGCCTAATGTGGTTTACCTTTTTTATGTAGTTTACCAATCACAATATCAATTAAGTTTTTTGAAGGTACAATATCAATTAAGTTACTTATGTATATAATTATATATTGAAATAGTGGTTGTGAATTTTCACTCAACAAAATAGATATATAAATCCCATTAACATTGTAATTTTTTATTGTTTACTTGCTTGAACACATATTTTTAGCTTATCCGTTCCAAAAAAGTAAGATATTCAACAGTAAATATAATAATTAATATTTTTTTTTTCTAAAAAGAAGAAATAACAAATAGATATTAAATGATTATGAAATAACAAAGACATGAACCAATAAGTTATAAATATAAGCAAAAACAACATTAGATTTATCACAAATATTAATCATGGGATTTAATTTGATTCCTCTATTGTCTTCCATTTTTAATTTTCTTGAATTATTATATCCATAAACAATATAATGCGCCGTAAACCCTAAAATATATGTTTAAGTTTAAAAAGGAGACTTGAAATGATAAGTGAATGCCTTAACTTAACTTATTTTAAATTACACATAAGCTAAAATATGTTTGATAAAACACGAGAAATAATAACCTATTTTGAAACACAATCATTTCAAAATAAGCTATTGACTTTTAATATTTTTTAAAAATCTTTATTAACTTACAAAAATGACACCATCTACCCTTCATTAATCAAAATTTTGATATCTCAATTTATCTTTTTAATGTCTTTTACACTTATCAGTTTATTCAACAACTAAATTTACCAAATACTTTAATTTCAATTAGTTAGTTTATTAGCTACTATTTTCAATTTTCAACTTCATTCTACTTAATTAACTTTTTCAATTAGGTGACCAAATATATATAAATCAGGCTTTAACAACTTTGTTGCATGGTGATGTGCGATTACAAAACTCGAGAGTTTGAAGCATTTTATATTATATGAAGAAAAGAAAAAGAGGAATTAATTAAGGTGATGATCGATAATGATGAAGAAGACCTAGCTATAAGATAAAAGCTTGAAAGATTAATTATGGTAATCAATTAAGTAGAACTACTTTTACAAATAAAAGCCAAATTATACACATAAACTAACTTCATATGATTCATTACATTAAGAAACTAATCTCTGTATTATATGATTATTAATGGTATTATTATTATTATAATTTGCTGACCTTTTAGTAGGGAGGGCGGCCATGAGCCCAAGCAAAAGCTTCATTGCTAGCCACCATGTTGGGAGGTAAATTGTAAACGCCGGGCATCGGAGAAGGATCTCCCATTCCGGCGCCGGCGCTGGCCATCCCAGGCGGCGGGGAACCACCGCCTCCGAGTTGGGGTTCAGCGGTGGCGGCTGCAGCTTCTTCCTCGTCCGGCTCCAACGGGAGCCGCTCGTACGTGGCGTTTGAGAATGTGGAGCCGATTACCATGACGGGGCCGGCGGCGACGAGAGAGCCGACGACGCTGCCGCCGACGACTTGGCCTTGTCCGCCGGCGAGGTATATGGTGAGGCCGGTTGAACCGGGCGGGGATGGACCGGGGAGGAAGGCGCCGGTCAAGGAGAGGATCTCGAACCGGCCGTGTAAAGCCATGACGGCTCCGGGAGCCGAGGGTTGCCTTAGGGTTACGTTGGTAACCGTCCCGCTAGCGCTCATCACGCACACGCCGCGCTGGCGCCGCCGAGCGAACTGCGCGATGCTCTCCGCCACGTCGGCGCCGCTCGCCACCTCCAGCACGTGGCTCCGCAGCGCGTTGGGGCTGTCCCGCGTCACGAAAATCGGCGGCTTGGGCTTGTTCTTCGACCCCGGCGGCCGCCCGCGTGGCCGCCGCGTCCCCACCTCAATTGCACCCTCTCTCGGCTCCTCGCTCGCCTCCCTCTCCCCTTCCTCCTCCTCCTCCTCCTCCCTTCCGCCGCCGCCGTTGTTGGATATCCCCAGATCTGGCTTCTTGAACCCCGGCGCGGCGGCTGAAGACGACGCCTCAACCACCCCCTGCAACCCTAATTGCCCCGTCCACCATGGATTCGCCATGTATGTATGTATACTTAACTACAAAACACGCAAAATCAAAATCAAAAATCAAATCACGTCTTAATTAATGAATTAGCTAGCTTAGATCTCTATTGATTACCACTAAAACATGTAAAAGAGCGAAACACGAAGGCCGAGACAAACGGAATTTCTTTTTCTCTTTTGGGGTTTTTGATAATAGCTTAGGTATATATATATATACTATATAGTAGCTAACAAGTTAAGATCGGAGATGATAATAAGAAAGAAATACTATACAAAGCGAAGTTGATAGATAGATGAACACTAGAAAGACCTAGCTAGAGAGAGAGAGAGAGAGAGAGAGAGAGAGAGAGAACTGATCAGAGAAGAAGAAAGCGCTGATGATGATATGATTATGCAATTGGTATACAATACAAGTGCCACTGAGATCACAACACAGTCTTATCTATTAAAAATTGTTACCCTCATTACCTACATTTGGTCTCTAAATTAAATTGTTAATGTTGCTATAAATTAATTTTAAGACTTAATTGCTTGTGATTTTAAATACTTAAAACTCTACATTTTTTATGATCTATAAATATTAGTAATATGGTAAAATTAATTTTCAGTCGTATTGAAATGCTCAAATTTTTTGTTTTTTTTCTGGTGAAGAACGAGAGGTAGGGCCTCGAGTTAGCAGATTCTCCGAGTGGCAACCCCACCTGCGTTCGCCAGCAGAAGTATTAATTACGAATTCAAGTCAACCGGGGTCTTCTAAGAAAGTAGTTCCCCAATCTCTAGCCTGCCCCATATTGGTTAAGAAATCGGCACATTTGTTTTCTTCTCTAAAGACATGCATGACTCTGAGATGTGAGAACTTTGCAGCATTAAACTTACCATCTCGGATTAAGGAGCTACACTCTTTGTCACCGATCTGCTTATCTGACAAGACTTCCATCGCATTTTTGGAGTCCAACTCCACGATAATGTTCTCCAACCCCTTCTCGTGACAGAGTCATAAACCCTCCCGTAGGCCCCACAGTTTTGCCACGAAGATATAGACATACCCACTCTGACTAAGAAACCCCAGACCCAATCACCATGATGGTTACGGAGGAGCCCTGCTCTGGCGATCCTTGAGCTGGTCTTGAAGGCATCACAGGATCGAGCCCCGGTGGTGAGATTTGACTCTTTAGGCTGCGACTGATAAAGAAAATATAGAACATATACTATTTTGTAATAGAATCAATAGTAATCAATAAAAGTTATAACTCTAAATTTATGAAAAATAAAACCATAAATTTAATATTGGTAGAGTTATTTTTCTGTTAAAGTGGTACAGTTTGACAGCTTTTGGTGAGGGGTGTATTGTCTGTATATATTTTTTAGGGTCAACGTAACTTCAAAAATTCATGGGATAGGCTGTCGTTATCATTGTCTCTCCAGGGCCGTATTTTAAGTTTTGGTGGCCCTGTTCTAGTAAATAAATGTGGCCCTACCAAAATCATAATTTTTAAAACTAATACATGCAAGTTTCGAACCTTTGACCTCCAAGTTAAAATACAATAAATACACATTCTTACCATCTCTTCATAAAACCTTTAAAGTTTAATTAAAAACTTTTTAATTTTTATTTTTAAACTAGCTAAGTAAAAATTAAATATTGAACCTCTAAATTTTGGGACCCCTCTAAAATTGGGGGCCCTGTGCGGTAGCCCAGCTTGCACAGCCTAAAATCCGGCCCTGTGTCTCTCTCTCTCATCACTTGTCAATTGTCTGTATGGGGATGAATATTTTCTCTTTCTAGAGAACTGGGAGAGAGACAGAGAGCCCTTCTTGAAATTAGGGTTTCTGCTTGGATTGGTGCGACCTCTTACTCGTTCTTCGGAGCCACCCTGAGTTTGGTTTGGGAAATCCTAAATATATTCTTAAAAAATATGTACTCCTATATATTTGCTACGTAGGATACATTATTTGGTGTAATTAGGGGTTAGCGATAAGCAGATTAATCAGTGATGAATACCAAATGATCGATGAATAACGGATTAGTAATTTTGATTAATGGATTATTTTAACGATTCATAGATCAATATTGGACTCAAAAGAAAGTTGTTTATGATTAATAATTAAATAGTAAAATGGCATAGAAACATTAAACATATGTATATTTTATAAAACAATTATTGATTATATAATAATTATTAATGATTATATTCAATAAATAATGCGCTGATTTTTATGTAGATATTTAAACAAATAAATACAAATAATTGCTAATTGTTAATTGTTAATTGTTAATTATATAATATTTTGAATATATAATAAATTAATAATTCATTATAATATTTATAAATTTATTAATAAAATATAGTTATTATTAAAAAAAATAAAGCAAATTAGGTGATGTCTCCCACATCAGCCAATTTTAAATTGTGCTACAACATTTTTAATTGTGTTTAATGCATAAGGGCATTTATGGAATAAAATAGCATTCTTTTCAAAACGTTTGTCTTACAACTCTTACCGTGTTTATGAAATTTACGTATTGCCTCTAAAATGCTAAATGAAAAAGCTAATTGTTAAACTTTTCTTTTAGCTTTTTGACCAAATCAACTAGTTTAATTGTGTTTAATTATGATTTTGGTTTCTTAATTGATGATGCTAAAGAATTAGCATCTACGATTGGTGATGTTGAATTTTATTTTGTTAAGTGATCTGCGAATTGTGCCGTTCATCCTGTTGCTAGGGAGGTCATTTCTGAATCAGGTTGCGGGGCGGAAAGTGATTGGACTCTCCTCATCTTTCTTGTAAATAGTCTTGTTCGTGATTTAATGAATTAATCTTTCGTTCTAAAAAAAATAAGTCAAGCAATTAAAATTAATCCAAAGAAGTTATTTATCTATCGAAGCAATTATTTAGAAAACAAAAGTGATTTAATTAACTTTAAAATTAATAATCAACCAATACATCACCAAGATGTAAGTTTAGTTTGAGTAATGCAAATAGTTCTTAAAAAAAATACTATAGTAGTTTCGAGAGTACATCACATGAATTGTATTGATTGAATAGAATGCACAAAAAAAAAAAAAAAAAAAAATCGTCCATAAAATCAGTAAATAGTAAACGTATTTAAAAATATGAAATTAAATAGAAGCAAATGCAGTAACTCCTGCCAATTTTTATTTATTTCAATTTTCATGCATGATGTGTGTGTCTATATATATATATATATATATATATATATATATATATATATATATATATAAAAGATCAAATAAGAACTAGTAAACTCGTGATAAGGTATGAAGTAATCTCATTTGTCAATTTAAGATGATCAAATGCTGAAAATAAAGGGAAAAAAACGCGTTGACATTTCTGTAATTACGACAATGTATTTTAATTTAAACGCTTGATAGTGCATTTTTAGATAACTAACAGTACACTCATGACCTATAGTAGTGCACTCACGTGTGTTTCAATTATTGCATTGTCGTAATTATGAAATTAAAATATCACCACATATTTTCTCATTTCGTTCTTAATTCTAGTCATTGATCATTCTAGATGATCAAACATATGAGATCAATATGTATATTCACAAGGATACTAATAAGAGCTGATATGGAATATACGCCCGGATCCGTACTTGATCATACCGGGATCGTTGAGAAAAAATATTTCCGACCATCTACCGATCGACCTGGAACAATTCTGTTTGACCTACCATAAAGTGCCAACTAGGGTTTGGTTAGCGGCCCTATTTCCCGAGTCTCGGGCCCTTCCCGATCTTCTTAGGTCGGGAGCGAGGTAAACAACCTAGCCCCCTCACTAGCTTCGGGAGTTGGACAACAATCCCACTAGCCTAACCCAGTGGCAACAAAAGCAAGGACTATGCAAACAATTGAGGGACCAAATAATCTTCTACCTACGTACTTGGTCATCCATTTCGGTGCAAATTAAAGACTTTCAAATCTTGATTTAATACTTTCAATTCTTGATCCAATAATAATGATAACATGGCTATGCAAACAAATATTTTTATACAATAATGTAGGTTATTTGATAAGTATTACAATTATTTCATATATTAGTTAATGCTACCACAAGGTAATTTTGTAACATCACATGATATATAAAATAAGGTTCAAATTGACCACTGAACGTAACCTGAAAATGCAATTAGGTCACTGAACGAAAAAAAAGTACAATTAGGCCACTGAACACTCCAAAAATGTGCAATTTCACCTGATAGCAGGTTACCCTCAATTTTAGCATGTTATCTGCTTACGTGACAGCTGAGTTGACATTTTTAATAAATTTTAAATAATTTTTAATAAATTTTAATAATAACTTTTTATTAAAATTTTTTTAAAAAAAATAAAAACGACTTTATTTTATTTTTTATTTAATTTTTTCTAATTTTTTAATAAAATTTATTATTAAAATCAATTATTAAAAATTATTTAAAAATTATTAAAAATGCCAACTAAGCTGCCACGTAAGCAGGTAACCTGCTAAAATTGATGGTAACCTGCTATCCGGTAAAATTGCATACGTTTGGAGAGTTCAGTGGCCTAATTGCACATTTTTTGAGTGTTCAATGACCTAATTGCACTTTTTTTTCGTTCAGTGGCCTAATTGCATTTTCAGGTTACGTTTGGTCAATTTGAACCTTATTTCTATAAAATATAATATTTAATAAAAGATTTTGACCAATGCAATGAATCTCGACACCATATGGTCCATATTTAAGTAGTATTCCGTAACTTGTAAGAAAATTAATATTATAGTATGAGTTTTTTTTTTTTTTTTTTCATAGCAAGTTTTGATTAGAACATTTTATTTGGTGTAAAAATTAGTGTTTTGGGCTGGAGGTAGTGTGGAGTGATCCATATTAAATGAAAATTTATAGGTGTTCTTATGATGTTATGACATTTTTGGATATTTTGCCACATTGGTACTACATTAAAAGTATCATATTTTAATAATAAAGATTTAAAAATATCATAGCTTAAAAAACATTTTATAAAATTACATAAGGTAGCTACAATAATAATATATATAATTATAGCATTTTGTTAAACATTAATTACAGACAAAATTAAAAGTTGCGATGGCATTAATTGTACTAATGATGAATATTCTTGATTACTAGTATATTACGTAGATTAAACTTCACCTAGTGAAATTAATTGCGGTAATGATAATTATTGATTACTAATAATGAAAGTAGAGCCATTCCTCACTCATTTAAGGTAGTGTTATAGGATGAGCTGCTGTTTATGGGGATACAAGAGTTTTTATTTTAAGTCAAAATATCTTATGATATATGGGTGAGAATTAAACGGTGAACCCTAAAATGAGTTGTTAAGTGGGTGAAACAGTTTCGTATTAGAA